AACCGAAAGTTTCTGTGATGACTGCCCTTGTACTGTTCACCATGTAAGAACTTATTCACTATGTAAAAATTTGTTCACCATGTAAGAACTTGTTCGTTATGCTTCAGAAGATTGGAGACTGACGAGAATTAGGCTTAGGGTGGATTAATGATTGTGCATTGAGCATTGACTCCCCTATACAGAATTTTATTGTTGTTAACAACCATTTGATCAATAAATATGAGAGATGCCCTCTGAAAAAAAAAAATCAGGTGAAATGGACCATTTTCAAAGAAAAATAAACTTCTAAGATTGGCTCAAAATATGGAATATCAAGAGACCAGTAACCGTAAATGAAACTGAAATGCTAGGAAAACAATTTTAAAAGATATTTATTTTCAAGGAAAAGGTAATTTCTACAGTTCTTTCCCCAAAGTCCAGAAAGATACAGAGAGCTACACAACGTATTTTATGATGCTAGAACAATCCTGATTCCAAAATTGTACAAGGATAAGTGCAAGAGAACAGCAAAATCCTTACCAAAATCTTAAAAAACTCCAGAGCATATTAAAAATATGTGACAAACACATGGAGTTTATTCCAGAAGGCTAGGTACAGATTAACATTAGAAAATCTAGCTATGGAATCAATTGTATATTAGTAGATTTAAAGAGAAAAGCTACCTGATCATTTCAACAAATGTTGATGAAAAGACACCTGGAAAATTCAACACTTATTCATAATTTTAAAAAACACACATACATACACAATGGAAACCTCTTGGCAAATTTGGACCTAATGGGGAACTTTAAAATGTGATAAAAAGAATTATCTACCACAAACCTATAACACAGGTGCATTAGTTATTAAATCCAGACTGGGAACTGCAAGAAATTTCTCCTCAAAGGGACCTAATGTTCTTTTATGAAATTTTCAGTGACTGCAGCCATGTGTTTTAAATATAGGAGATTATACTTTTGATAAACACAGAGTAGCATGATTACCTGCTTTAGTGCCTTCTTGCTGTGCTTCTGTGATGGAGAAATGACTTTACCTGCTGGGATGGTGGGTGATGGGCAGCCTGACTGGGGAGAGGATGGCTGTGACAGTCTAGACGATACTAGGGAGGGAAAAGTGACAATGAAAGATTTTGTTATCAGAGTTGATCTCAAACACCATTCCTTCCCCCATCATATGCTGCTACCTGAATTAAGAACTATGACCAAACACTTTTGGGAAGGATCTTCTTTTTGGAGTTCTACTGCAAACAGCCTCCCTTTTCAGTTTATTTCCTCAGTAAGTTCTAGTGAAGGATGATAGGATGGGGAAGGGATGGGTGTTAGTATTCATTACTTTCCATTGTTTAATTTTTCAGCAGAATTGATTGAAGAAGCAGGAAGCAGACTATAACTATGATTCATCAAATTAGATAAAACTTAGAAAAGATTCTAGAGCCCATTGGCCAGTATGTATGTTAGGTAAATCTATTAACAACATGACATAGTGGAAGAGCCCTGGATTGATAGATGGGTCCCAGTTTTCCCTATCTTTAACATGAAGATAATAAGGCCTCAAAACTTCACCATAGCTTTAACTCCTAAATTCTTTCATCTCCTAAATCAATGGTTTCAGGCCTACCAGTGGGAGAGGGCACTTTAGGATTTCTTTAATGGAATCAATATAGGTTTGCACAGGGTAAAACCACACTTTACTTAATCACCAGCTATTTTATATCCCATTAGAGCTTAGTCAAACCTCAGTCATATGTGAATGAAGGTTTCCTTTCAAGAGCCTATACCTTATAATCAATAGCAACCAGATCTTTATGTTTTATAAAGCTCAACATTGTATTATTTCTTACAAGAAACAAGAAATTGCTGATTCAGGCTCCTTAAAAAAAATACTGCTCATGTAATTGTAGATTAATGATACAAAAAAAAAAATACTGCTAAAAGATAAGTTCTGAAGAGTACATGCCATCTCCTTCCATTGCAGCTGGACTGAAATGGCTTGGATGGCAAAATGGCATCCCATGACATGGCTTAAGAGCTTTCAGATACCATATAAAGTATACCAGTAGCAGCTATCTGACATGAAAATGCAGAGCTGTGGTTTGTTGGAAACACAAGATTTGGAGAACAGTATTTTCAACTGATGTTCCAATAAAGGAATACACAATAGATAACATTTTGAGGACAACAGCAGATAACATCAAGATGACTTATCATGCTTAGCTTCAGCTTTGCATCCCAATCCGTATAAGGTTCATAAATGAGAAAGAACTGATGTACAGCATGACATTAAAAATTGTATCATAAAAATGAAGTTGGATAATTCTTCATGGTTGAACAGTGAAAAGAAACCATGTCCTCAGTGCACGTAGTTGCTGACCAACTTTTTAAAATAATAGCTTTATGATATAATTTACCTACCACATAATTCACCCAAAGTGTAAAGTTCAATGGCTTTTAATGTATTTGTAAAGTTGTACAATCATCACCACAATCATTTTTCATCATCTACCAAAATACCCTGTACTGGTTAGCTGTCACTCCACTCTTCCCTACCTATGTCCCTAGTCCTAGGCAATCTACCTTAGGACTCATCTACCTTAGGACTCATACAATACGTGCTTTTTTGTGCTGGACTGGTTTTTTTCATTTAGCGTGTTTCGAAGATTCATCCATGTTAAAGCATGTATCAATATTCCTTTTTATCATCAAGTAATATACTGTTGTATGCAAATGACACATTTTGTTTATTTATTAGCTGATGGAAATTTGGGTTGTTTCCACTTTTTGGCCATTCTGAATGATGACACAAAGAATATTCGTTAACAGAATTTTGTGTTGGACATGTTTTCCATTCTCCTGGGTTCATACCTAAACATGGAATTTCTGAGTCTTAACTCTATGTTTAACTTTTTGAGGAATAGCTGAACTGTTTTCCAGAATGGCTCCACCATTTTTACAATTCCACCAGGAATGTATGAGAGTTCTCATTTCTCCACATCCTTGTCAACATTTGTTACTGTCTTTTTTATTTGACAAATATTCTTAGAGAGATGTAATGAAAATAAGGTAAAAAATGATTAATATTTAATGTTTTCTTTTTAATGGTTTGCAAAATCTGAGAATTTACATTTCCTCATCTGGCTCAAATGCTGCCTGAAAATAAATAAGAAATGAACAAAAATAATCTTATTAGAGAATATAAGAATTCTACTTTGCAGTCTGGAAAAGAAACAATAAAGCTATCTGGTATTACCAGGTTGTTTGGAGTGTTTCCCCATAAGGCAAAAGGCCTAACAAATAAAACCATAAACATATTTCAATGTCAACTGAAATAAATCATGGAAATTCCAAGAACCAGCAGTGAGGAACAGCTCCCAGAGTTCACATACTGCCAAGTACTGGTCTCATAACTTCTATGAAACTTAAACTTTGTTCTAAGTTTTTTAAATATTAGAGACTCAGAACTACAACCAGCAACAAGATTTAGACACATGTTGAGAAACTTACCTCTTATAATTCCTTTTAGCAGGTATACTCTCTTCAAAGACACATTATTTTATTTTTTTTAATTAAGGTATCATTGATATACAATATTATGAAGGTTTCACATGAGCAACATTGTGGTTTCAACATTCACCCATATTATCAAGTCCCCCCTACCCACCCCACTGCAATCACTGTTCATCAGTATAGCAAGATGCTAGAGTCATTACTTGTCTTCTCTGTGCTATACGGCCTTTCCCGTGACCTACTTATATTGTGAGTGCTAATTATAGTGCCCCTTAATCCCCTTCCCCCTCCCTCCATACCAACCCTCTCCAACCCCTTCCCTTTGGAAACCGCTAGTTTCTTGGAGTCTGTGAGTGTGCTGCTGTTTTCTTCCTTCAGTTTTGCTTTGTTGTTATACTCTCCACAAATGAGTGAAATCATTTGGTACTTGTCTTTCTCTGCCAGGCTTATTTCACTGAACATAATACCCTCTAGTTTCATCCATGTTGCAAGTGGTAGGATTTTTCTTCTTATGGCTGAATAATATTCCACTGTGTATATGAACCACATCTTCTTTATCCATTCATCTACTAATGGACACTTAGGTTACTTCTATATCTTGGCTATTGTAAACAGTGCTGCGATAAATATAGGGGTGTGTATGTCTTTTTGAGACACATAGTTTTATTAACTAGAGCAACCAAGAATTGAGTATCTTCTATGTGCCCAATACTGTGCTAGGTTTGTTTGAATAGGATTTCACTGAACTACGGTAACTACCTTCTAAGGTGGGTACAAGTTCTCTTCCTACCTCTACCCAAACTCCTCCAACTCTACCTTCTGAGGTAACTTAATGCATAATATATTTTGGTTAGCATCATACTGACATTTTTCTGTGCAAACAAAAATACAAAAAGATTTTTAAGGACATATATTTACACATAAATTTTAAATGTACATATTCATCTGCATATTGTGATGATATCTAAATTTTACAAATCAGGAAATTTAACTAGCTTGCCAAAGGACACAGCTAGTAGGCATAGCCAGTTGAGAACTTGGTATATTTTCAGAATAAGTAGGTAGTAGGCTGAATGGTAGTCACCAAAAAATTATGTCCATGTCCCAATTCCCAGTACTTGTGATATTAATGTTATTTGAAAAAGGAGTTTTGACAGATCCAATTAAGTTAAAGATCTTGAGATGAGATCATCCTGGATTATCCCAGGGTGTCCAAAATCCAGTAACAAGTATCCTAAGACATACAGAGAAGACACACTCAGAGGAGAGGCACTGTGAAAACAGAGGGAGATATTGGAGTGATGTAGCCCCGAGGCAAGTATGCCAGCAACCACCAGAAGCTAGAAAATATAAAGAACAGATTTCTCCCTAGGAGGTTCTGTAGGGAGTGCAGCATTGCAGACACCTTGATTTCAGACATCTGGACTACAGAACTGTGAGAAAATAAATGCCTGTTGTTTGAAGGCACCCAGTTTGTGCTAATCTGTTACAGCAGCCCCAGAAAACTAATACAATACCTAAAACCATAACTGTGAGAAAATAAATGCCTGTTGTTTGAAGGCACCCAGTTTGTGCTAATCTGTTACAGCAGCCCCAGAAAACTAATACAATACCTAAAACCACTTTTAAAGTATCACTACCAGTGGTTCTAGAATTTTTCAGTAGTTGAAACAAGGAAAGTCTTCTTTTTAGAATGAGAGAAATTAAAAAATTAATGCATTGATACCAAATTCAAATTTAAAATTACAGGTCTGTCACTTAACTTTTCTGATATTATATTTCTATTGCTTTTCTTCTTCTCTGATAATCCTAGTTCCTAATAACATTACTGTAAATATTAACTTGTTTTCTCTTAGATCTAGTTTCAAAAACATACCAATATATATTGAAAATAAGACTACTGAATTCTGTTTAAAATTACTTTGTCTCTCCAAGAATGAACGAGTGGTTACCAAAAGGGGAGGGGTGTGGGAGGGCGGGGAGGGAGGGAGAAGGGGATTGAGGGGTATTATGTTTAGTACACATGGTTTGGGGGATCACGGGGAGAAGTGTAGCACAGAGAAGGCACATGGTGAATCTGTGGCACCTTGCTGCACTTATGGACAGTGACTGCATTGGGGTAAGGGTGGGGACTTGATAACATGGGTAAATGTAGAAACCACATTGTTTTTTCATGTGAAACCTTTATAAGAGTGTATATCAATCATACCTTAATAAAAATTTTTAAAAAATTACTTTGTCTCCCACACCTAAGATATATCCTACAGTAACTCAGCAACATAAGTTATGCCATTATGCCACAAATTTTCATACACTTGCACTTGCTTTAAGCTGTTTCATATTTCTAGGAAGTACACTAAGATTTTAATTAGGTAAAACTTTCATGTAAGTCTAGCTCCCTCCCCTGTCTATACCACTTTATTACCTCTTTCCCCTAAAAATCATTTACAGGCATATCCTGTCATACTGTACTTTGCTTTATTGAGCCTCACAGATACTGCAATTTTTACAAATTGAAGGTTTGTGGCAACCTTGCATTGAGCAAATCAGTGCCATTTTTTCATCAGCATTTGCTCACTTTGTGTCTCTGTGTCAG